TAATAAACTTTATTTTAATATAAAAATAAAAATTATTTCTTAATAAAATTATAAATTTTTATATAGAGAGAAAATTTTAATTTTTATTATATTTTATTAGTAAATTTGACTTCTGATATATTATTTTGATTGTGATTATATTAATTTTAATTAAATAAAAAATATATATAATAATAATTACTTTTTAAATTATTAATAAAAATTTTGAATAATTATATTATAAATAATATAATAATTAAAATAAAAAGAAAAATATAGAATAATATTATTAAATAAGATAAGTAAAAAAATCAAAAAGAAATCTAATTATATAATAAAAGTAATTATTTAAAATTAATAATTAAGAATTTAAAATAATCTTTAAGTTATCAATGATTTATAAATTATAAAATTATGAAGTTAAGAATTAATATTATTTATTATTCAAATCAATCTCTTTATAATACCATTTTTATAATGAAATTCCCTCTATAACAACAAAATTTTCTAGAATAATTCATATATTACTATAGAAAAATTGATCTTTATATAATAACATTCTCTATAAGAATAAAATTAGACTGAATATTTAATGTCATTATAAAGAGATTGACTTGTAGTAATATAATATATAACTATATTTATTATTAATTATAATTAACTAATTAAAATAGTTTATCAATTAACAATAATAATATTATTTAATTTATTTAGTTAAAATAAAGAATTGCATATTATCATCTATATTTACTAATAGTTATCTTTTTTTACTAAAGCATTATTATGACCAGTATTTTTAACTATTTTTTATTATATGATATAAATCAGCATCTTAAATTTTTAGTCACTTAAAAAATTTTTTGGTTTGAATTAAGTTGTATGCACTGTATTTCTCTTGCGCCAGATTTGTTTTGTCGGGTTGATCGCATCAAGATTCTATTGACTCAATTTTAATAAAAATTATAAATAATTTTGGCTAGCATTAAGAAATAAGCCAAGATTTTGATAAATTTCGATAAATTATGTCTTAATTTTGGCCAATATTACACAAAGCATGTCAAAAAACTTGAAACACAACCTAATTTTGGCCAACATTAAAATTAAACCAAAGAAATTAAACTATAATTCATAGTAAAATCACCGAAAATTCAGAAATTTGGATTTTATTTTACGAATCGCAAGCAAAAGTTTCTACGAATATAAAAAGCAACAAATCCACCAAATGATACACGTGCGTACATATGTTTTTAATTCAGCTTCAGTTTGTATGTTTCAAATGACAAGAGTTATCGTTATAATTAATTTTAGGCATATACGCAGACCATCGATATGATGCAGTCGGGCATTAGTAAAAATTTTTTGGAATATCGATATCGATATGATGACAGAAGAGAGATGTTACATGGATAATAAATAAAGTAAGTGGTAGATAATCATCCTTTTGCTATTATCGCTATTATTCCCTTTTGTTATTGTTTATCCTTAGTCGCGTCACGTATTTTATCAAACATCAAATTTTACTTTTAATATTATTCGAAATATTTATATTTCTATATACATATTACGATTTTATTATAAAACTACTTACTTGAAATTGTGATGTCCACGAATAAAAGTAACAATATTTTTACAATAAATGACGACCAAACACCATCATCACAAAAATTGCACCAACTACATCGACGACGAATGGACCGTAACGAGAATACCATCATCACCCACGAAAGTGGCATTCTGAAGATCGGATTTGCAATAGTATTATTTCTTCTATTGTCTCTGATAGTAGGTTACGCGATAATCGTCACAAAAAGGAAAAATAAAAATTTAATACCATCACCCAACCATAAAAAAAGAATTTCGATATCTTTATGGCAAAAAAATTTGGTATTTATCCATTCGCGTTCGATTGGCTCTTCCTTGCTCGAGTATAATCAACAACAGCAAACAATACAAATTAATCAAGGCAAAGAAAGAAGAGGATTACGATTGGATAAATTGGGTGCTACTAGAGAAGGTGGCGGTGTTACAGTTTTATCTCCGATAAAAGAGGAGGCTGAAGAATTATCCGAGTCTTTACCAAAGTCTGCAACCACCAAAGAAATTGAAGAAATGGCAGCGGGTGATGATGAGTCTTATGTTATGGTGTCGAATGTTTGAAAATTATATTATTTTAATATGGTAAAGTCTCCTTATCGTTTACTATAAAATATAATTCTTCCCGCACATTATCTTGTAAAGGGCTTGATTCAAAAACGCGAATTCCCTAAATTTTGGTAATTGACATGAGATGAATTTACTCATGTCAATTTTTTCTATTGTCCTTTATCTCATGATACAAATCCACCGACTGCTCTCGATTTTCCAGTTGAGGATTTACGAGCAGGATAAATATCCCACATATCACCTGATTTATGGTTATTGTTCTTATCACCAACAGAAATCGGCGTTTTTTTCTTACTTTTTCGTGTTTTACTACTTTCCCGAACCGCTATCTCTTGACCGCGCTTTAATTTTTCCTCATTCTCATCGATAAACCATCTCACAAAAGTTCTCAGTAACTTTCTCACTTCCGCTGGACCATCAGGTCCACGATCCAAAAACAACGCACCAATGTATGCTTCCATACATTCGCCTTGCACATCAATTTGAGTACTAGTGGGATTACTTTTCACCATTTTCGATAATCCACATTTTACTGAAAATTGCGCCAATTGCTCTCTAGTTGCCAATTTTGCACGAAGCATCGATATATGCTTTAATTGTATATGTGGAAATATCTCTTGCAGAATTAGAACGAACTCGGAGTATATTAAACTGTCACCGAGGAACGCTAATTGTCGAAATGAATTCTGAACGTTTTCGACGTTCATTTCTTTCTTTCTGTAGGCTAACGACCTTTCTAGCAGTACTTTGTTGTGAATTGTGGGTAATTTGAAGAGACCTGGCGCTCTTATCCATGCATCGGGCGTAGAAGGTATTGGGGTTGGATATGATTTAGTTTCCATGGTGGATTCTGAAGTTGATGTTTCTTTTGAAGTGGATGTAATAACAGGTGATGAAATCGGTGTATTCATATTTGCAAAAGATGTGGTTGTTGGATTATTATTATTACTATTAAGAGGTGCTGTATTAATATTATTATTATTGTTCGCAACAAGATTTGGAAATGTCGGATCGTTTTTTGCAGTCCTTAATATCTTTTGTAACTTTAGCAGAGATTTTTCGTCGTCTTGCGTCGGCATTCGAAAAGGATAACAAACACGAAAGAGCGGAAGATATTGCACTGGCACAACGATATTTCGGCTCAAGCGTCGGAAACGCAAATGCAGATATAGAATATGCAATGGACGTAATATTTCTCTTTTGATAATGTCCCTCAATCGTGGCGTTTGTGGTTGTATGAAATTCGGATAAGACATTTTTTTAAATTCATTTTACTAAATATCGTTATCATTTATTCATAGTCAGTGCAAATTTTTTTGATTGGCAAAACATTTGTATCGATATGATGGTATGATGATCTAATACAATTATTTATTATTGTTATCGTTATTATCATTATTATTGGTTGAGCAGATAAGCACAGATAAGATAAATAAGAACAGTGACAAATCCAACTCCGATGGAGGTAAAGATCATTGGAATAAAAAGTATCTGCCCTATAGAAATAATTTTAGCATTTGAATTTGAAACTCATTGAACCAGGTAAATATCTGATTAAAAGCAAAAAATCGTACCCAAGAAAAAACTAACTCCAAGTGCAATACCAATCAAAGAAACAGCACACAAAAAAGCAACCGTCAGAATTATCAACACGATCGAAAGAGGAAAGCCGACAATCAAAAAACCACATCCATTCAGGAACCAAAGCCACATTGAAAGGCAGCAAGAGGTTGATAATGCAAAGATTTCGGTACACGCGTCCTTGAGATGGTTCATTTTGATGTTATACGTTAATGATACAGCATTTGTTGTGGTTCGCTGCCGTTGCTGCTGTTGCTGTTGTTGTGAGTGGAAGGATGTGTGCGGTGAATTGCGTGTCGTGTGAATTGGATGGGTGTTATCACTGATGTAACTCATTTTTATTTGAATTGTTTAATTATGAGTTCAATTTCTTTTATAGATTTCACATTTAATGCACTTAGAATTTTAACTGATGCAATGCAATTTAGCATTTTCTTATCAGTGTGATTTACTGATAACGTTGATAATGATGGTCACCATCACACATGTGACTTAATCAAAAATAGTGTTCACATCACCCAAACGGTTCGGAAGTGACAATGGATGAACTATTCTCTTTAAAAAATCTATTCTATACAGGCAATTTTTTTTCGCGCGCTTCTTATTCACTTACGTATTAATCTTGATACTAAATTCTATAAACATCAAAAAACAGGCTCTTATCAGCAAGTAATAAACGAAGCAAATTCGAGAACACCAGTTTCCGAGGCGGCAAAATTAGAACGGAAAGTATATTTGTATCGTGCCTACATAGCCCAAGGAAAATACAATATTGTCATTTCCGAGGTTAAAGATTCCGACGCTGTCGAGTTACGAGTGGTGAAGCTGCTAGCTGTGTATTTACAAGCAAAAGCGGCGGGACAACTCGACTCCAAGCGCGAGGAAACTTTAAAAGAACTTTCCGAGTTGTTAAAAGAGCCGGCAAACAGCTTGAACTCGACGATACAGATTGTTTCTGGTACTATTTATTATCATGAGGGACTGTTGGAGGACGCGTTAAAAGTCTTGATAAAGAATAATAAAAATTTAGAGTGGTATGATGATTTATTTTAATTCGATTCGGATTCCGCACTTTTTTCATCTCGGAGAAAGGTGAACAAAACTAATAACAATAATACTACATTGCAGTGTTGCTCTAATTATCCAAATCTATCTTCAAATGGATCGTGTGGACTTAGCAAAGCGAGAGCTTGCTGCCACAAAATCATGGGCTGAAGATGCGATGCTTGCGCAGTTGATTGAAGCTTGGGTAGGCCTTCGAACGGTAGGTCAATTAAAACAAAGTTCATCACAATCGTTAAGATTTTTAATTATTCAATTATAAATTACAAAGGGAGGTGACAAATATCAAGAAGCTTATTACATCTATGAAGAGATCGCACAATCACCGTCTTCAAATACAGTAAAAATATTGAATGGACAAGCTGTTTGTCATATTCATCTTGGTAGATATCCAGAAGCTGAAGGATTATTGCTGGAGGCGTTAAACAAGGTGACAATGTTTAGATATTATTGAATTGCATATATTATTACTCATTAACAATTCAATATTGTTCCCTTTTTTTTTATTGATGTTTCACAGAACAACGACGACCCTGAAACTCTCGTAAATCTGATAGTCGTCTCCAATTTATCGGGAAAATCATCAGATGTGGTGAACCGGTACATCACGTAAGTATTTGTTCAGTTATTCAATAATAACAATGCACCTGTATGTTTTTTTTCAACTGATACGAATGACAATTTATTGGTTTAGACAACTGAAAGAGGCATCACCAAATCATCCCTTCCTACAAGATCTCGATCTAAAAAATAGTTTATTCGACCGAGCAGCCCTAAAATTTGTACTTGCTTGACCATTTGATTGATATTATATAGAAATTGTAAACGCAATTCTACTCAGGACTTCATAATTGTAATTAGTTATTCCTCACAACGTAATCAATAAACTATTTGCTTTTCAATACAATATAACACAATGCCAACACTATTTTTATTAAAATTAATGCAAAATTTGTTTGACTTTTATAATACACATTTATTTTATTTCGAAAAATTCAAAATTTTACATAATAAATAAATAAATGAAACGATGGTGGTGATGGTAATCTTTAGAACAAATCCAAATTTTAGAGAGCGTCATCGCCGTATTTTTCTTTGTACATTTCTTCCGCGGCCTTCTTGGCTTGATGATGAGCTTTTTGTTTGTCAACAAAGTCCAATCCTTTGGTTTCAATAAGCTATGGAAGCAACAAAATGATGATCTCAAATTAAAAACCGGAAAAAGCTGATAATTAAGCAAACTGGGAAACGCATGTATTTACCTTATCAGCTTCAGCAGCTACAAGAGCGGCCAAAGCAGCCTTGGCATTTGAGTGTTTTTCATCAGGGTTGCGCTTCTTTTGATAGAGCTTGAATGCTTCGAAAGCAGCTGCACCGGCCACAAGTTGGTGAGAAACATGAGATTCGTGTTTCTTTAATTCCTCTTTGTCTGTTTCGTGGAATTTTTTGTGGTGCTTTTCGACGCTTTCGTATGAGTATTCAGACATTATGAAAGATTTTTGAGTTAGGATTTTAGAGGGCTTGCCAGCAGTAGTTTAAAAAAAAAAGAAATATTGGAAGAGCGAATGGATACCACTTTTATATGTTTGTGTGCGGGACGAAACGTTAACATAAAAAGATCAACAGTAGAGATTAGGGGACGAATGAAACATGCATTCGCCCCTGTTGTGTATGTGGCTTGCATAGAATTTAGATAAATGATAAAGTAAACATGGCGTTTTTCTAACTACTACCATGTCCAAATTTAGAATACTTGAACGGGTTAACGCATTCAAACTGTACCCGCGCGTTTTTTAAAAAAAACAATTGTTATTTTCCAATGGAATTCTCTAACTTAAATAGATAACAAAGTATTTGGGTTTGTGTTAGGCCTAATTTAATTCACAAAGACAATGTATTATAACCTTCCTTATAGTTTTATTTATTATTACGATTATATCAATGATTTTCTGTGAGAATCGAAAGGGACGAATGAGGCAACCAAACGGGTACATGACGTTTTAAGTTCCATCTATAATCGTTCAAAATCAATTCCATTTTTATTTTGTGAATACCGCCGCTCCTTTCGACTTTCAGTTACACGAATTAAATTGGGTTGCATACATTTTATGCTGCACTTTTGCCCTTTAATCCAGAAATTGGTTAAGCTCAGAATTTTTTATGTATCACGAAACCGAAGTATGTAATTTGAGATTTATTTTGCGAATTTAAACAATGAAGTGAAAAAAAATCCGTGAAGAGCTCATCATCAACAAATTCTACATGGATTGTTCGACACAATGTAGTGCTACGTTATTTGTTCAATACCAAACAAAGAACGCGGGAGTTTGCATGAACTTAAATATGATTTTCATGTGCTTCGGATACTTTTTCCGGTATTGTTCACGTGACAATGCTTCATCAATTACTGCGCAAAAAATAAATTAGAATCTTGGCAAAAGTTTCGTTTTTGATATATCAGGAGTTCCGTTTTTGATAGATCGGCAAGTACCCCAAATTTAGGTTCCGTTT